TATTATTAACTAAACAAACATCCCCGAGTCTGAATGTAAACTTGAAATTCTTCTCAATACTGAGATTCAGTATTCCAAACAGCTACTCCTAATCATTAGACCCAGCACTGAGATCGCACTCACATGCCACATTGGCACTAATTTGTAAGCCTGTGAGAACAAGAATTCTGCCTCCTTTGTATCATAATTGTATCTTCAGTACTTTGCAGTGTCGGAGGCACTTTTTTTTTTTCTACAGAAAGTATTTCCTGCCAGGTGTGGTGGTACATGCCTATAATCCTAGCAACTCGGAAGGCTGAGGCAGGAGGATCTCAAGTTCAAGGACAGCCTCAGGAACTTAGCAAGACCCTGTCTCAAAATAAAAAATAAAAAGGTCTGTGGATATAGCTTAGTGGGAAAACACCCCTGTATTCAATCTTCAGTACCCAGTACTGCAAAAAAAAAAAAAAGGTTGCTTTTTTAAGTATTAGGAATGGAATTGGTAAAGATGTAAATGGCTCACAAGAGCTCACTGATTTTTAAGAAAAACCTGCATTTTTGTAGTAGATGAAAGAATGGAGTTATGTAACAATAATGGAGTTATGGAGCCGGGCGCGGTGGTGCACACTTGTAATCCCAGTGGAGGCTGAGGCAGGAGGATCATGAGTTCAAAGGCAGCCTCAGCAACAGCGAGGAACTAAGCAACTCAGTGAGACCCTGTCTCCAAATAAAATACCAAATAGGGCTGGGGATGTGGCTCTGTGGTTGAGTGCCCCCGAGTTCAATTCCCAGTACCAAAAAAATAAAAATAAAACAAAACAATGGTGGAAACTGAAGGAAATACCTTTGAGCTTTTTACATCACTTTCTCCTCCAAATCATAACAAGATTTCAAGGTGTAAGCATTTTCCAAACCCAAGAATGTAAGAGTAGAGCTATTTGCTATTAAAGTACTCCATACCTGCTTGTATCTTTTCTTCTGCATATACTGTAACCATAATTTTATATACTTGCGCAGCAATGTTACCCTGAAATCAAACACAGAATACCAAGGTACTATCAATTCATACTTTTGGATTTCAGGTTTTTAAAATTCTGTTTTATTTTTAAGTCAGGTGAATCCAGGTTCAGTTAGTTCTCGGGAGGTATAAACGCACACTACAAATTTACCAGTTTCATTCCAGAAGAGAAGGACATAAGAACCAGACACCTAACATGAAACCTGTCAACTCTGATTGGATTCTTGCTTAAAAATGCTCCAAGCCTAGTGTTATAGTTTAAATGTGGTGTCCCCCAAAAGCTCATGTGTGAGATAATACAAGAAGGTTTTAAGGAGAACCTTCTTCAATCTTATTTGAACTCATGATCCTCCTGCCTCAGTTAATCAGTTAATTAATCCCTGGCGGAGTTAATTGAGTGGTAATTAGAGGCAAGTAGGGTGTGGCTGGAGGAAGTGGTCCACTGGGGGTAGGGTTATGGGCTACATATTTTGTATCTGGAGAGTAGAGTCTCACTATGCTTCCTGATCACCATGATGTGAGCTGCTTCCCTCTGCTACACTCTCCCGCCATGATGTTCAGTTTCACCTCGAGCCCTGAGGAATGCAGCTGGCCTTCTATGGACTAACACCTCTGAAACCATGGGCCCTCAAACTTTTCTTCCTTTACAGTTGTTCTGGTCAGATCTTTTAGTCACAGCAGCAAAAAAGCTGACTAAAACACCTGGGAATATAGTTCAATGGCGCAGTGTCTGCTCAGCATGTATAAGGACATGAGTTTGATCCCTAGCAACAAGAATAAATAATTTAAAATGTTCCAGAACTGGACCTATAACAATGCAAATTATTGTGAGGAAGGGAGGGAGAGAAAGGGAAGAAAAAGATATTGAACATAGCAAACATTTCTGACAGGAAGAAAGTTAATAATGGCTACCTCTGAGGAATTAAGAATTAAGTTACAGGAAGGGGAACAAGCAACTTTTTTTGGTACTAGGGATTGAACCCAGGGGCATTTAATCACCAACCCAAATTTCCAGCCCCCCCCCCTTTTTTTTTTTTTTTTTTACAGTTGTTGATGTATCTTTATTTCATTTATTTATTTGTTTTTATATGTTGTGCTGAAAATCAAACCCGGTGCCTCACACATGCTAGGCAAGTGCTCTACCACTGAGCCATAACCCCAGTCCTTTTTTTTTTTTAATATTTTATTTAGAGACAGGGTCTTGCTGAGTTGCTAAGTGCCTCAATAAGTGGCTTTGAACTTGTGTTCCTCCTGCCTCAGCCTCCCAAACTGCTGGGATTACAGGTGTGAGCCTGTAATTTTACATTTCTATACTTCCTTCTACACATTCTGAATTTTCCTCACAGATATGGTACTTTTATTTATTTTTATATTTATTTAACTGAATGACTAGCTCTAGAATACTGAGGACTCCCTGTACCTTCAAGACTGAGCCACAAACAGCTACTGGCCTGACTCTTTAACACTACCGGTACATAAATTCCAAGACGTGAACATCATAATGCCTGAAAGACTAAGGCAGTAAGCAACCAGGCACATACCTCAAACTAAGGGCCAAGGCCCAGTACAAAATATCTCTATTCTACTTCTCACTTGATCAGCCAAAAGCAACATGAAAATTCAGGAATCACTGGTTTACAACATGGCCTTTGGCCCTTAAAAGGTCTGTCTATAGCACTAACTTACAACAGGGTGAGTGATCACTCCTGGAAAACTGTTAAGAATCATAAGATGTCTGTGAGAGGCAGAAGTTGAAACCAGAGTCCTACCTGTAGTGACCCCAGGCTGCAAGCAGTAAGGAATGCTGCTCTTTTTCCTCCTTTTGCTCAATCTGAGACTGCCAGAGGTTCCAGAATCTGCGTAGCAGCTAAGGTAAAACAGGGGGAAAATGAAAGTTTACTACAGTGAAAAGTAAAAATGATCACTCTTTATCTATTAGTGAGTGAATCCTTACTACAATAAACCCCTGAGTTGCCCCCAAACAGGTATTACCTAAATGTGGAACAGCAAACACACATGAGCTTTCAAAATAATTATGGTTGAGCTATGGAGCTATTCTTGACCAATATAAAAGTCAAAGGGGTGGTTCTTTCAGTCTGTGGAAATTTGGATGAAGAAGTTTTTCCTAGTCATGGCTTCATGGAAGGTGAAACCATTTTAAAGTCACTTTAGAAATTAAAACTAATTTGGGGCAGAGGATGTGGCTCAAATGGTAGTGCGCTCGCCTGGCATGTGTGAGGCACTGGGTTCGATCCTCAGCACCACATAAAAAAATAAAATAAAGATATTGTGTCCACCTAAAACTAAAAATAAATAAATATTTTTTTAAAAAGAAATTAAAACTAATTTATCACATATTACTACCTAGAAGTAGTCTTGCAAAAATGTTTTAATTTCCAATGATTCAAGCCCTTAGACCCAACTTTTAGTTTATAGAAAGTTGTTAGAATAAAATGACTTCAAAAGGAAGCAATCAACAGCCAGGTACCATGGCACATGCCTGTAATCCCAGCAACTCAGGAGGCTGAGGCAGGAGAATCCTAAATTCAAGGCCAGCCTCAGCAATTTAGTGAAGTTCTGTCTCAAATTAAAAAATATAAAGGGCTAGGGATTGGGGATATAGCTCAGTTGGTACAGTGCTTGCCTTGCATGCACAAGGCCTAAGTTTAATCCCCAGCACCATGACACCACCACCACCAAAATAAAAGAGGGCTAGGGAAATAATCAGTTAAAATGAGAATAAGGAATGCTTTACAAAATAACTGGACAATATTTTTAAAAAGCCAGTCATTTTTAAGAAAAAGTATACATTATGCTAAATGAAATAAGCCATTCACAAAAGTTAATGCAGATACTGAATGATACAGACATTAAGATTTGAAGTCTAAGGGCTGGGGATATAGCTCAGTGATAAAGCACTTGCCTACCATGCACAAAGCCCTAGGCTTAATCCAGCACTGGGGGAAAAAAGACTTTTGGAGTATAAAATCTGGAAAAATCTCTTGGCACATATGTTAAAGGGGTATGGCGGGGTGGGGGGAGGATAAATTAACTATCAGAAGAGTTCCCTTCATATAGAAGATAACCCTCACCATGATGTCATGCTGCCGGTAAGCAAGATTCCTTCTTATTCGCTGGAGGTGGGCACAGGTCACATTGTCTTTTAAGGCTCTAAAGCAAAAATACTATGCAAAAAAGAAAGGACACAAGTGATTACACAGAATCAGTAAAGTCTTAGAAATAAGCATAGACAAAGGAAGCCAGTCCCAGAATCAGGGTGTAAAAAGCTCTGCAAGTGCTACTCAGGATTGCTCCATTTCCCTGAGAGTTTCCTTGCTTTGAAATTCAACAGACAGCCTAATACAAGCCAGCCTGCACTGCAGGAACTCAGTAGTATTGGTTAGCCCACTGCCTACTGCCTCATCTCCGACCAGGAAGATCCCCAAGACCCACATGAGAATTTCAGAGATAAAGATCAAACATCAGCTTTTCTCTCTCAAAGCAAAAAAAGAGATTTTTTTTTTTTTTTGCCTATGGTAGTTTTTTGTTTGTTTTTATGCCACATAAGGGTCAGTTCTTACATTTATATAATTATAAATATAATTTTGCTAGAGTGGGGTAGAAGGAATCCTTGGAGAGAAGGGGGTTTGGGGTAAGGGCAGGATATCCAGTTCTTGCTCACATCACTGCCCTACCTTGGGATTTTGTTTTCTGTGACAGAAGAGAAGTTAAGGGTTTTAATTATGTGTTCTATGAAAACTGAAGGGCTTCTTAAAGTCTTTGAAGACCACTTCATGTGGTAAGGGTGGGAGAGAGGAACTGGGTACCACAGAAACTCACTACCCAGATCTTGCTTCAAGCTCAGCATTGCATCTGTTACAGGTTAGTCTTCTGCCACTAAAGAAGGATCAGATCATATAAAAACCCCCAGGACTAGACCACTAAATCCCTCTGACCCTATACCATTATCTTCTTGATCCAAAATGCAAACAGGGATACCCCCAATGAAAAAAATGGTTTCATGACTAAAGCTAAGCTAGTGGGAAACTGGTTGCACTCGGTAAGCCAAAGTTAGTTAGGGTCCCTGGGTGGAGACTTCAGAGTAGAACCATACCAGGCTGCTTTGCTCTTACCAGCAGGCTGCGCCGGTGGTACCCTTCTGCTGCTTCACACTGAGCAGCTTCTTCTGCACACAGCAGCATGTCTGCCAAGAAGTTAAGGCCTCTAGTCTCAACAAGGTTCATACCCTGCACATCCACCTAAAAGGTCATGGCTGCAGGGGTAATAAGCCTACCAGGTGGGATAATATCCACCTCTGTCTTCTGATGACCCAAGAAAACAGTAGAAAAGGGGAATCATATGAGTTCTTTATCAAACAGCTGGCCTTGTTACCTTCCCCCTTGGATGCCCACTTGATAAGAGGCAAAAGGTACCAGAGATAAATTACCACTGATTTCAAAATCACCATAGCAGAAGCAGAACCTGCTCCTTCTCTGAATTTTTTTTTTTTTTTTTTTTTTTTTTAGATTTAGGTGGACAGAATCTCTTTATTTTATTTTTATGTGTTGCTGAGGATCAAATCCAGTGCCCCATGCATGCTAGGCGAGCACTCTATCACTGAGCCACAACCCCAGTCCCCTCCTCTGTATTCTGTTTTGGTGTAAAGATCCAGTTAGATGTTTGAGCTAAAAACCTTGGAGCTATTTTCAAAGCTTTTCTCCTCCCACTCCCCCAATCTACTCAGCTGCTGCACCCATCTGCTCTCCTCCTAGGTCTCTCCTCTCCATTCCCTGCCATTCTGCCCCAGCAATTCATGTGACTTGTCCCTCATATAACTGGTTAAATGTGACTCTTCACAACACTGATTTCCTTGGGCTAGCTAGCATTTCTCCTCCAATCCAGAACTGTCCTTCCTAAAGCCCAATCTAACTATCACTTGTCTTCATGAAAACCTTCATAGGCTACCCATGGCCATTGGAAAAAACACAATTTCCTGGGCACTGAACACCAGAGGTCTACAGCCTGGTTCCTCAGCACAGTCCCGCTCACAACTCACTACAGATTCTTGAATGCTCTTCCTCACCTGTAAGCCATGTAAATGCCATTTCCTTCCACCTGAAATGCCCTTTTCTCAACTATTCTACTAGAAGACCAAGAACTGATACAAATCTTTGACAGCACTTATCTTACCATATTGTCCAGACCCATTTTCCTGTCTATTTTCCCTAATAAACAATGAACTACTGTGAGTCTTAGAGTTTTCCCATATCCAAGCACTTATGCACAAGTTTAAAACAAAGCTAGACTTTGATGAACAAACAAATGTGTGGATGAACATCCAAAATATTGAAAATTCTCATATTGGGCACACACTATGGTGGGGATAGTGATTAAGAACATGTGCACAGGAGTAAAAATCTAGGTTCTGCCAAAGACTTACCATACTATGAAAATCACTTAGCCTCCCTGAATATGTTTCCTAACCTATAAATGGAGATGGTGATACCTACACCATAGGATTGCTAAAAGGATTGAGAAGATAATGCATAATGCTCCACAAAGCAAAAGCTAAATACATGGAAACTATGCTCATAAAAATGGTGTCATCAAGAAATACACAGCTATGGCTATTTCTACCATCTAATGGCTAGAAAAAAGCAATGAGCAAGGTGTGATGGCACATACTTGTAATCCCAGCAACTCAGGAGGCTGAGGCAGGAAGATGGCAAGCTCAAAGCCAACCTCAGCAACTTACCAAGTCCCTAAGCAACTTAGTGGGACCCCGTTTCAAAATAAGAAATAAAAAGGTTAAAGAGTTGGGAACGTAGCTCAGTGGTTAAGTGCCTGTGGGTTCAATTCCCAGCAACCACCATCATCATCATCTAAAGAAAAAAAGCAGTGAAATGATTACAGAAAAAAATAATAGGACAATAGGATTACCTGGGAGGGGGGGTGGCTATAAAAAGGGAAGCAAACAGGACTGCTAACAATGTTCTATTTGTTTGTATGTATAGTCTCAGTTTTAAAAGTTTTTAAAAGGTCAACAGAGATAAAACTGGCTTAAATTGTTTGGTAGATACTTTCGCCTTACATGTATACACATGGTGCTGAGCTCAGGCTGGTCTGGCTGAGGTGGCAGGCAGGCCTGAGTGGCTGAAAAGGATACAGTGTTTCCAGTGTGTGAAGGCCCTTCTCAGGGCCATCCTCTTGGCCAGTTCCTCCACCAGGGCCTGGTGGGCATACAAGTTCTGCCTCTGCTCCCAGGCCCACTGCCAGTCACAGAAGTATATCTGGAGCACAGTGACATGGTAGAATTGCTCTGCCATTTCTGCAACAGAGAAATAACATAGGTGCTGCTCTTCCCAGATGTGATATGAGCTGAAAGTATCTGTAAGATGAACTGAAACCTGCTACTAGCAGAAAGCAAGGATTTAAGGCTGCTCCTATAAAGAATCCTTTAAGTTTTTTTAGGCTGGAGGTATATAGTTCAGTGGTTCAGCACCAAAAATAAAAAAGCTCGTTAAACATTAGGAATCTCTGAACTATCTCTGCTCTCTCTAAGGAAAGAAAAAGATCTCTGATTTTAGGGAAGAAGGATCAATAAAATCTACTCAAGTAGATTTTAATGAGGCTTCTCATTAGCTACTGATGTATAGGAATGATGCTTTTAAAGAGGACTTTGTTTTACTTTTGCCACTACACAGATTCCTCCAGGATAGAAATCAGGGACCTAGTCAATGACACATAACTTTGGTCACCATGTTGGGAAAAGTTTTCAGCCAGGCTGATCCTAGTCAAACTCCTTTTACACTAATCACGCAATGGCCTAATAAGCTGAAGCCCAGGAACTGGAAAGCAGTCTGTCCCGATATTCAAGTGTCATAGTTGGAAGCAGGAAGATGGCAAGTTCAAAGCTAACCTCAGCAACTTAGTATTAGTCTGTAGCTAAACACAGTCCACCTTCCAGCACTAACTATTCCAGTGCTCATCTATCATTATTTTCAAAGGACATGGTAAAACCTTCCCAGAGACAGGGCTGGCAGCCTACATTTTTGCAGGGAGGCTTGGGTGAAAGCAGGAGAGCCTAACCCAGTGTCCAGCACAGTGCTTGACTTACTTCTATGTAAACTCAATGAATAAGTACAAAAAGTGTACTAGTGATCACATTTCGATATGTATTTCTTCTAAAATTAATTGGTGAAATAAACCATAAAAATAGTATCCAAAAAACTCAACATCATAACTCACACACATTTGTACAACTGAGGACATACAAAAATAATCCAAGAATCTATCAACAGAATGAATGACTAAGAAAATTAAGGTAAGTTATTCTATAATTAAAAAAATAACATTCATGATGACATGATAACATTCATTTTTGACATGGAACCACGTCAAAAAAAAGCACAATACAAAATTGTAGGTACATCATATTAATCCCAATATTAATAACACTATTTGAAATAAAATACATGTATTAATCACAATAATTAAAACCACATATGAATAAAGTATATGCACAGAAGGTCAAAAGGAAATAAATGTGAATTGAGAATGATGTATTTTGTCCTTGATCTTCTTTCACCAAAATTTGTAGAACATAGTTATATTTCTTTTTCGTAAAGAATCAATGGCAGCAGGAAGTAGAGTGATCACATTTCGATGTGTTATTACTTCTAAAACTAATTGGTGACCAGACTCTCTATTTTGAGAGCCTGGGGCTCCCTACTTACTGTTCTGCTGTCTCTTCACTCTGCGCATAAGTAGGTATTCAATCCAGGCCTTCAGTGATGTTCGTTTTTGCCAGCACTGATGGTGTCGCACTGCAGAGACCATCTTCTGACTCTCCCTCTGACGATGAAGAAGCTGTTTCCGCCATCTTGACCAAGTCTGAAAACCAGACAAAAGAAAACAATCAAAGGAGAGACTGACCTGGGCAAGGTGATGATGCCTATAACCTCAACAATGTGGGAGGCTGTAGGCAGAAGAATCTCAAGTTCCAGGCCAGCTTGTGCAACTTAGCAAAATCCTGTCTCAATAAAAAAATTAAAATGGCTGGAGATACAGATTAGTGGTAGAACACTTGCCTAGCAAGTGCAATGCCCTGAGTTCAATCCCCAGTACTGAAAGAGAGAGGGTGTTGAGGACAGTGGGGAAGTACAGATGATTTGGGGTAGGGGACACAACACAAAATAGAAACACATTGGAAAGGCTAAAATTAGAAACAAGTGACAATCCCTTAGCAGGATCATAAGTTATGGTAATTTGGGGTGAAAGGTCTTTATTTACTTATTTTTATTATTCATTTTTTTTTGGTACCAGGTGTGCTTAACAACTGAGCCACATCCCTAGCCCTTTTTTGGGGGGTGGGATTTGGGAGAGTGTCTCACTAAGCTGCTTAGGGCCTTGCTAAGTTGCTGAGGCTAGTAAAACTTGTGATCCTCCTATCTCAGCCCCATGTATCACTAGCATTAAATGCATGAACCACCATGTCTGGCTGAAAGTGTTTAGGGGACAGACAGATGACAATGGTGGAAACACAAAGTTAAGAGAATAATTTATAAAAATGAGCCCACTGTGCTGACCCCCATATGCTTTCTTTGCCAAAAAGCAATTCACCTGCAGCCCTGCCTAGCCTAAGTGGACAGGATAAGTCAAATTCCTCAGCAAACTGAGGCAGGTACAAAGGTCAGGCAGTCAGTATAGGTAATGAATGATGGGGGTCAAGAGAGTGACAACTAGTTATCAAACAGAGAACAATGGGTTGTTAACGGTCAACCTTCGAGATTGGTCAACCTCTGCAATCAATTGAGCTCCTTGGCACTCTGAGTTGCTAACAATTAACCTCCATGCTGCTGCTCCCAGTCACGTATACAGGGAAGAAAGAGAAGACAACAACTAAAGAGGGGGATTCTGGGGTCTATAAGAAAGCAAGTCGCACCCCCTCCCATAGACACCCAGCTCTGGGGATCTTCTCTTCAGAGATACCTGTCTCTATCCCTCCCATTTCTTAAATAAAACTTGCTCTCTATGCTTGCTTCAGTGTCTCTCGGGTGTTGAATCTTCAACACTGGGGTCCAAGAACCGGTTCCCAGTCTGTACTGGGATCAAAGATCAAAAGGATCTTTCAGAAATGCATTCTGGCTGCACATGGTGGCATATACCTGTAATCCCAGTGACTCCGGAGGCTAAGGAATACTGCAAGTTTGAGGCCAACCTCAGCAACTCAGGGAGACCCTCAGTAACTTAGTATTCAGTGGTAAAAGCAATGATTTAATAAATTATTCTCTTGATCCTCAGCCACTCCCCCACCAAACATTGTTTCCAGAAAGTTACTATTTGTGAATTAAAAAAAAAAAAAAAAAAAGGTCAGGCATGGTGGCATGTATAGAAAGATTGCTTGAGCCAGGAGCTTAGACCAGCCTGGACAACATAACAAGACCCCATCTCAACAAACAAAAACACCAAAAAAACAAACGAAACAGAATAATAAAAATCAACAAGTACACAAGCAGCAGGTATAATCCAAGGGGTGATAAAATTAACTAACTTTATCTTCCCTGGTGTATTCCTCTATATGAATATAACAGCCAGCATGTTTCTGTTGTTGTTTTGCTCTGGTTATCACATCACTTAAATCTCCTATAACAATGAACTTTTTCTCTTTTATGCCACTTATCTATTAGAGAAACCAATTCATTTATCCTATAAAATGTCCCATATATTGAATTTGAATTACTCTCTCCTTAAATATCTTTTAACTTGTTCTTCTGACCCCTAGATTTCCTACAAAGTGTTAGATTTGTGTTGGGCTTGTTTGGAGTCATGTTCAATTCTGGCAGAAAAACACTTCATGAATGTGGATGGGTATTCCCAATTACACTGTATCATAAGGCACATGTTTCTAGCTGTCACCTTGTAGCAATGCTGAGGTTCTTCAGGCTTCAGAAGGTCTGAGGTCTCCATTATGTTTCCCAACATCCTTTGACCTGCAACCTAGATCTGCATCCCCATGAGGAGTGGCAAAACAGGAGTTTTCTATTTCTAATATGCCTGCTACATTTATTAAATGGAATTTTATAAAGAAGTTGTCTAACTAACTATTTAGTTTCTTGGTTAATATAGATTGTACAAGAAAGGTGGGATATATGCTTAAATCTCATGTTTTCAATTCAAATAGTATTTCAAAGTTGCCACAGTGGTATATTTGTTGCTCAATTTTACCTTTTTGGGGGGACCAGTGATTGAACCCAGGGGTGCTTAACCACTGAGCCACATTTCCAGCCCCCTTTGTAATATTACTTTTTTTTAGTTGCAGATGGACACAATACCTTTATTTTTATGTTGTGCTAAGGCTAAAACCCAGTGCCTCATACGTGCTAGGCAAGCACCCTACCACTGAGCAACAACCCCAGCCCCCAGGCCTTTTTTAGTTTATTTATTTATTTTTATGTGGTGCTGAGGATCAAACCTGGCACCTCGCACGTGCTAGGTGAGTGCTCTATCACTGAGCCACAACCAGAGCCCCATTTTTTTTTAAGAGAGAAGAGAAAGAGAGAATTTTTTAAATATTTATTTTTTAGTTTTTTGGTGGATACAACATCTTTATTTTATTTTTATGTGGTGCTGAGGATCCAACCCAGCGCCCCTTGCATGTCAGGCGAGCACATTACCACTTGAGCCACATCCTCAGTCCCCATTTTTAATATTTTATTTAGAGACAGGGTTTCATTGAGTTACTTAGGACCTTGCTAAGTTGCTGAGGCTGGCTTTGAACTTGTGATCTTCCTGCCTTAGCCTCCCAAGCTGCTGTGATTATAGGCATGGGCCACCACATCAATTTCACTTTTTCATAGCTGTTCCACATCTGGGATGATGGGACACAATGGGCTAATTTTGTTGCCTTCATTAACTTTCAAAGAGTTGAGTTAATGCCCTAATGACTCAAAATAATGATGAATTTTTTAAAAAAATCATTTTGAATGCATGAATTTTAGGATATATTTCTCAATCCATTGCAGGCATTTTTTTTTTTAATGTCCCAATTTTTCTTAAACTCATGGGCTTCAAATTGGCTCTCACTGGCTCCTGAATCCTTCCAACACAACCTTACTTAAGCTTTTGTTAATTTCCTTTTTTTTTTTTTTTTTTGTACCAGGGATTAACTCAAGGGCACTCAACCACTGAGCCACATCCCCAGCCCTATTTTGTATTTTATTTAGAGACAGGGTCTCTCACTGAGTTGCTTAGCACCTCACTTTTGCTGAGGCTGGCTTTGAACTCGCAATCTTCCTGCCTTAGCCTCTGGAGTTGCTATATTATAGGCATGAGCCACCACGCCTAGCTGATAACATACTATATCCAAGCTTTATTTTTTCTATTTCCTGCCTGAGACTTAGAATCATCTATTTCTCAAATAGCCCTTGTGCCTTTTAGCAAGAAATAGAGGCCACAACTTGGGCACAGAAGATACTAAATGCTACATTCTTGCCACTGTTTCTAAGTCTTTTCAGTAAAAACATTTACAAATACTTTTTAAAGATAAAATAAAACCATGGGGGGTTGGGGTTGTGGCTCCAAGGAAGAGTGCTTGTCTAGCATATATGAGGATGCACTGGGTTTGATTCTCAACACTGCATATAAATAAATGAATAAAATAAAGGTCCATCAACATCTAAAAAAAATTTTAAAAAATGAAACCATGGGTCCAAACTGATATTTGTATTTCCCAATTACAGATTATAGGGCTCTTTATTTAATTTATTTTATCCCTGTATCTTTTCTTTTGCACTAAAAATTCTGAGTCCTAATGACAGTGTCATAGTTATTTGCTTCATCTCCTGATGTGGCTATAATAGTTTCAACATAACAATTCCAAGCCTGCTAATAACAATAAGAACACTGAACACATTTTCAGATTGCTTAGCAGTCTTTTTTGCTTCCTCAGAATCCATTCCAATAGGAATGAACAGGCAAACTATGTACCATGATTATTTTCTGCCACAAACTCCATGTTTGCTTTATTTTTGCTTTTCAATTATGTAAAATGTTTAAATGTTAAAAGTATGTAACAAAGTTAATTCAGGAGGTACTCTTCCTTCTCCTATATGTAACTTTTTTTTTTTTTTTGGTACTGGGATTGAAGCCAGGGGTGCATTAACACTAAGTACTCAGCCCTTTTTAAATTTTATTTTGAGACAGTGTTTCAATAAATTGCTTAGGGCCTTGCTAAATTGCTCAGGCTGGCTTTGATCTTGCAATCTTCTGCCTTATCCTCCCAGGTCACTGGGATTACAGGAAAGTACCACCATGCCCAAGTTCTAAGTAACCATGATGACTGCCCTAGCCTAGTTTATAGAGATGTTGTTAAAGATTAAGAAAAATGACTTAAGGGTAAGTGCTTGGTAAAACCATGTAATATTTATAGATACAAGGCATTATTACATATAATCCACACAATGAAGTCCACTCTTAGAGACTCATCTAGTTTTTTAGTCTATGTCAACAAAGTTCCTTGATTACTCACATTTTTCACTTGCTGACTCAAAATGAGTTTTTCCTTCCAGTACTATGAACCAAACACTGGGGCACTTTACCACAAAGCTATACCCCCAGATCTTTATATATACATATGTGTGTGTGTGTGTGTATATAAATACATATATATATACACATAATATATGTATACACATATATGTATAGTTTTTCAAAAAAATTTTGGGTAGATGGACACAATATCTTAATTTATTTTTCTGTGGCACTCAGGATCAAACCCAGTGCCTCACACATGTAAGGTCAACCACTGGGCTACAAGCCCAGCCCATATATATTTTTTTTCTTTTTTAATTTTGAGCCAGGGTCTTGCCAAGTTGCCCAAGCTTCCCTTGAACTTGGTATCCTCCTGCTTATGTCTCCTGAGTCATTGGGATTACAGGCACAAATCACCATGAATGACCTCAGAATGACTTTTGACAGTTTATATAAAGTTAAAATTCAACCTCAAACCCAATCTCAACATCTTATCACTAAAAATATTCAATCAATTCTGTAATTGCAAACTTTGAAGACTACTGCAAATGTTCTGAGCAAAGTAGGATGAGCAGACTGAGTTTATGGCCTCTCAAAGTGGGTATCTGAAAGGAACACTCAATACAGTTGCCTATCAATGACAAAATCAGTCTCATTATGCTCCTATGTTTACAACAATTTCCATTTGTCAGTTCCATCTCCCTCCTGAGATTATAGGTCTCATAAGAACAACATAGCATGATGGTTCAGAGAATAGCTTTGCAATTTAATTTGGGTTAAATCCTGGTTCTGACCTTTGTTATGTATATGAAACTGGTTCAAGTTATTTAATCTGCTTAGTTTTTTCAATAATAATACAGGGTTTAAGGAAAAAGAATTATGAAAATCAACTAAGATAATGATGTAAAGCACTCAATCCAGGGCCTTGCTCAAATAAGATCACAACAAAAGTTATTGTGGATTAGGGTTTAGATCAGTGGTAGAGTACTTGTGCATATGTGAGGACTTAGGTTCAATCCCTGGCACTCCAGGAATAAAATAAAAATAAAAAGTTATTGTTGCTGCGGCTACTATAATTATTATTGGCAAGAGCTGTATCTCTTTATTCCTTGCAATTGACTTGAAAGATATTAGGAGGGCTGGGGTTGTGGCTCATCGGTAGAGCGCTCACCTCGCAAGTGCGAGATTCTGGGTTCGATCCTCAGCACCACATAAAATAAATAAGTGAAAAAAGGTATTTTGTCCAACTACAACTAAAAAATAAATATTAAAAAAAAAAGATATTAGGAATTCATGGGTCAGCAAGCTTTTCCTTAAAAGGTCTTTGTAAGGTATATGGTTTCTGCTGCAATTACTCAACTCTTGTCTGTTCTTGTAGCCTCAAAGTATACACATGATACATGAAATAATGGGTGTAGTGGCATTCCAATAAATCTTTATTTACAAAATCAGAAAGCAGGCCAAATTTGGCTTATCTAGATGACTGTATATACTACCTCCTCCCTCCCATATGCTGGGGATTGAACCAACGGCCCACACATGCTAAGTATGTGCTCTGCCACTTAACTACACACACAGTCTTGTATATGCTATTCGGTGCGTCATCTGTATATACTTGTACAGACTATGCAATATGTTGTCAGATTAAAAAGATACTGCTCCTACATTTAGTAACAGATATATTTTTTCCTACTCCCTGTTCTATTTTCTATAACTGACTTGGCAACCTTAAAAAATACCCAGCAGATATAAAAAAGTGATAATTTCAGAGACACCAAATGTAATAAAAAGTTTTACCACACCATAGTTTAGGTACAATTCTTAGTCCTTTATAACTGACCAAAACCTAGTGACTGCCCAAAAAGAAACCCCTGAGACAAACAAAAATGAAAAGGAACATGAATTTCTTTTTGGCTTAATTTCTTTTCTGCCTGCATTACTTTCCAATTAGCTGTAGAAAAACTGTAATGAGGAAATAAGAGTACACTGCTGTTTCTTTAAATAGTTTGTAACTAATTCATAAACCCCCTTCAGTTCCATATTTACCAGAAACTCTCAAAAACCATGGGCATCACACCTGGGACAAGCCTCTGTGTGTTTCTAATAGCAGTACTTTTCTGTTGAAAAGCTCAGCCTTCCATACTACTTCTGTTACCCACCTTCTCCTCAGCCCCCTGAGCTGACCTCCCAGCAACGGGCTACAGCAGAATGGCTTCCTATTGGAAGTCTTACCCTGCCCTTTCTGTGTATGAGGCTTAACAACACAGAAAGAGGACACCAAAACCCAAGTTTGCTGAACTCACCTGTAGCTGGAGGCACAAGGCCCTGTGCTTTATAGCTGTGGCATGAAGAACCTGGCTCATGTAGGCCTGTCCTAGGTGCCATCTCCACTTGCTCCACCACACCCTGGAAGAGCAAATTGAAGACAGAAGTGAGAAAAAAAAAACACCCAGAAAAGAGAAAGGCCATCATAGACTAGGCCGCTCACTCTCAGCTCAAGTACCTTTCCTTCATAGTGCCATCTCTAAACTGATGCCTACTAGATCCACTACAAAAACAAAACAAAACAAAAAAACCTACAATAACAATAATCAAGAAACATTCTAGAGTTGCCCATGTGGAAACTGATGATACCTAAAATCATATCCAGCTTTAGGCACTACAGACTTCCTCTGGCCTACACAGTTTATTTTCTAAAACCTTGAATTATTGTCAACATTTTTAAAATGAGGATCTAGGTACAGTGGCACATGGCTGAAACCCCACTGACTCAGGAGGCAGAGGAGGCAGGAGGATGGCAGTTTGAGGACAGCCTCAGCAACTTAGAGAGAACCTGATTTAAAATAAAAAATAAGCTGGACGTGGTGGAGCACACCTAAAATCCCAGAGATTTGGGAGGCAGAGGTAGAAGGATTATAAGTATGAGGCCCGCCTCAGCAACTTAGTGAGGCTATAAGCAACTTAACAAGACCCTGTCTCAAAATAAAAAGCAAAACAGGGTGGGGATGTGGATCAGTGCTTAAGCACCCCTGAGTTCAATCCCTAGCATGTATGCATGAATTAATTAATGAGCTGGGGTGTGTGGCTCAGTGGTAGAATACCCCTGGATTTAATCTATAGTACTGCAACAAATAAATGAATAAAACAAAAATTGAAAAAAAATTCAGAAGATTTTACTGAATAAGTTGCACAAAAAAATGGCTTTTAGATTTCCAGTCTTCCTGGATCCCATCCCTTCCTACTGCTCTAGCCAGGTTTTCATTTCTGGATTGGGTTTTTTCCTACCTTTTTTTGGTGGTCCTAGGGATTGAACACAGGGCCTTATGCATGCTAGGCCAGCACTCTACCAATTGAACACATTGCCAGCCCCTCCTTATTTTCTAATTTGCAGAAGGAAAACAGTCTTTGAGAAATTGAGAGTTTGCAACCTCTGCTTTACAGAAACAAATTGCTGGCCTGATCACTCTACCCACAAAGACCTCTCCTTTCTCCTAAACAAGATCATGCTAATGAATATTTATGACAAAATCGCTAGCTAATTCATTTTTAGGAATTTAAAAAATTATAAGGGTATGGAGAAGGAGGGAGGCATGAACCAAAATTGATTTCCATGGATGTATGAGTTTGTCTGGATGAATCAAAATACTATGCAAAGCCATAAAGCTCTAATTAAAAAAAAATCTGGGCTGGGGCTGGTTCATCCCTCTTTTTGTCTAGCTTATTCTACTTCATAATTATTACTTCAAACAGCAAGTTTTGTAGCATGATTTTTTCCTTCTTTATACATACAAATACATATTTATACATATTCCTTCTTAGCTACATATAAATAAAATAAAGGTCTATCAACTATAACTATATATATTTAAGTTATGTCAAAAAAAAAAAACTTTAAGGAATTACAAGTTCCCTGAACATAGCCCCAGCACCAGTATAGTCCCAGAATATTTTAAGCCCTCAATAAATATACATTAAGTAAATAAATTGATTGCATAAAATATATTCTCCATAGATTCAAGTAGAACTGCATACTATTTCAAAATACTGAATAAATTTAAAATAAATTATGTTATTATTATGTTATTTCTATTTAAATAATTTTTTTATGTCCACTGATGTTCTGGACACTGCTAACTACTTTAAAAATATTACTTTATTTATTCTCAATGGCAACCTTGAAAGACACTCAATGCCACGTAGGCCTATTTCACAGGCAAGGAATCAGAGACTTGGAGAAGTGAAGTGACCCAATAATATATGCTGGAAAGGGTTACAAATCCAAGTCAGTGTAGTTGCAAAGCTATCCATGCTATATTTAGTGCCCAGTTTTTCTGGGCAGATGCTGAGCTTTTAGTATACTACCATTCAGGACCCAAAGAACCATCAGAGACAATATATAGGGGAATTAGTCTCATTATAAAGTAGCTCATTGGTACACATATCACAACTACTTCATGTTCTTCCAGTGTGTCCAAAATGCTGATGTGATGCAATGAAGAGCAGTAGTTAAAGCAAGGGTGGGTGAGCCTTAGTTTTACCAATTATAACTTATGAGTTCAGACAAGTTACTCAACCTTCCTGAGTCTTATAGTTTATGATGAGAATTAAATGAGATACTTTACCTTAAAAAATTAACATACATACTAACTTAACACAGGGTTTCTTTAAATTATTTTTTAAGGTCATCATTAAACAACATCTGTTGAACATAGGGTTTATAACAGAGTAATGTACTCAATAAGTATTTATTGTGATTATAAGGAATCATGTGATTAATCTTTATAGTTGAACAAGTTATCAATACATATTTATTAGGCATAAGCTGTATTCAAAACATTTTTTAAGGTGGGTTAAAGAAGCATGTTGAGGTAAAATAATGGCTGTTAATCTGTAGGGTAATTGAGCATACTCACCGTAAGATACTCTGCTGCCTAAACTCCAGAGCAGTGGTCTGCATCTGCAATTTGGTCCTACGAACAACCACATAGATCAACCAGGACTTCCAGGCTTGTCGCATCTTTTGCTTTGCATCTAGACATAGAGATGTTTTTTATGTTTTATTTTATTTTTGGTGCTGAGGATTGATCCCAGGGGCACTTAACCAGCGGTGAGCCATATCTTCACTCCCTTTTTTTGAGACAGGGCCTTGCAAAATTGCTTAGGACCTCACTAAATTGCTGAGGCTGGTCTAGAACATGCAAACCTCTTGTCTCAGCCTTCCGAGTGACTGGGATTACAGGTGTGCATCACCACACTCAGCGAGAGATAGATGTTTTTTAAAGGGCTGACAGAAGATGCATTACTCTGGGTTACAATGAAAGCTCACAGGTGCTCTGTACTCATCCAGTCTTTGAATAGTCAAATCCCTACAGCCTTCAGATGCCCCCTGCTGGAAATGTTGTGAAGTGGTACAAAATTAAAAGGACTCAAAACAAAAACAAAGATGGCAAGTACAAAGCATTTACAGGAAAACCAACATACTGAACTGTTCAGAAATCCTTCACTCTAAAATTTCTTAGTTTAAATAAATATATTTTCTATAGTATTTATAGATGAAATGATGTGAATAAACAGACAGCAAAAAAAGGGAGCTCCACAGGGATAGGAGATGCAAGGGCTCACAGTTCTCCTAGTAAATTCTACTTCCATTATGAAAGCCATCACTAATGAAGTAAATTTTTTTTGCTTTATGGAACATAATGGAGAAAATAAAATTACTAGTTTTTGAACATTCTCCAAAATGTGGCCAGGAATACTAAAGATATATTGTATATTTCAAATCAAAATATGAAGGAGATTTTAACATCTCTCTTCCTTGTGCTCATCCCAGACCTCAGGATTCAGCATACTTGGGGTAATGAGGACTAGTATGGTACTGAGGTCTAGAGTCTGGGCTCAAGAAAGATAAGCGGGATTTCTTAAAATTTTATTTGGGGGGTGGTGTCCTGGGGATTGAAAGTGCTCAGTAGCACTCTACCACTGAGCTACATCCTCAGCTCTATTTTTTATTTGAGAAAGAGTCTCATTAAGTTCCTTAGGACCTTGCTAAGTTGATGAGGTGGGCCTTGAACTTTCCATCTTCCTGCAACAGATTCCCAAACTGCTGGAAATACAGGTGTGCACCACTGTGCCCAACTAAAGATGGGTTTCATTACTGATTTTTTTTCAATACTGATTTTTTTCATTTATAGGCTAAGTAACCTATAAATGTTCCTCATCTGTAAAATGATGTTCCCTTACAGGTATGTCTATAAATCATACATGAGATAATTCATGAAAAATGTATCTTAATAATTCATGAAAAATGTACCTATTTTCTAGACATATAACACAGGAATCTGCATTAGCTGTCTCTGCCATGATTTGGATATATGTGACAATGTGACCATAATTCTCCTTAAGGCCTGAAAGTACTTGTAAACTTTTTACACAATAGTGAATAGTACTTCAGATATCTACGGACATGGCCTGAAAGAACACATAAGTCAGAAATAATTTTTTTCTCTTAAAAATTCAAGTGACTTTTCCCTTCTGTTCCACAATACATAGATAACATTTATGAGACAGGACATATTCTGGGCCACAAATCAAACCTTAAAATTAAAAGGACTGAAATCATACTGTATCTTATTCTCTAATCCATAATGGAATAAATTAGAAATTCTTAACAAAAGGATACAAGAAGATACCCAAATATTAGGAAATTAAGCATTCTTTTAAATAATCTATGGGGCCTACACCTCTTCCCAGCAACTTGGTGGCTGAGGCAAGAGGGTTACAGATCCAGGCCAGTCTGGGCAACTCAGTGAGATCATGTCTCAAAATAAAAACTAAAAAAGAATGGGAATATAGGACAAAAGTAGAGTGCCTCTGGGATCAATCCCCAGTACAAAAACAGGAGGGAAAAAAAAAAAGAGGAAAAATCATAAGTGGAATTAGAATTTTTTTTAACTGAATGAAAACAGAAATATAACATTAAATTTTGCATGATGCAGTTAAAACACTTTAAGGGAACTTTATTTGTAGCACTAAATGCTTATCTTAGAAAAAAAAATGTAATGTCTTAAATCAATAACCTCAATTTACATTCTAAGAAACTAGAAAAAGAAGACCAAATTAAAACCAAAGCTTCCGTGAGTGTATGATATGTCAAAATACATTCTACTGTCACGTTTAACTAAAAAGAATAAAAAAATCATAATGGTCAAAAATAAAAAGACTGAAGACATAAATTACCAACATCAAGAATTAAAAAAAGGGTTTGACTACAGATTCTATAACACACTGAAGTTATTATAATGAAATATTCCATGCTCATAAATTTGATAACATATTTGAAAAACATATTCCTTGAAAACTCACTCAAAAAATAACCAAAATAACCTAACATGTATTTATAAACTTGAACTCAAAGTTTAATATCCTTCAACAAAGAAAATGCCAGAACTAAAGGATTTCATCAAAGAATTTTACTGAAAATTTAAGGAACAAATAAAACCAACTCTGCAAATCTCTGTCAGAAAATAGATGAGGCTGAAATACTTTCCAAAACATTTTGTGAGGCCTGTATTACCCAGCATTAACCAAAACCAGACAAAAACATATGACAAAAGAAAACAACAGAGCAACATCCCACATGAACACAGAAGCAAAAATCTTCAAAGAAATCTGAAATAGTGGCACATTTCTATAATCCCAGCAGCCTGGGAGGCTGAGGCAGGAGGATTCCTAGTTCAAAGCCAGTCTCAAGTCTCAGCAACTTAGCAAGGCCCTAAACAACTTTGTGAGATACTATTCCAAAATAAAATATAAAAAGGGATATTGATATGGCTCAATGGTTAAGTGCCCCCTGGGTTTAATGCCTGGTACCAAAAAAAAAAAAAAAAAAAAAGAAATTAGAAATTGAACCCAGTAAGATATAAAGAGTGAAAGTACTCTGAGGAATGTAAAGTTGATTCAAAAAATCAAAAATCGCTCTAAATAATTCATCATAGTACTGAACTAAAAAAAGAATAGAACTGGGCACTACCTGTAATCACAGCTTCCTAGGGAGGCTGAGGCAAAAGGATTACTTGAGCCCAAGAGTTTAAATTCAGAAACATAGTAAGATCTGTGTCTCTAAAAAAAGATATATTATCATGGCAATTGATACAGAAAAACTATCAAGTCAGCAAAAAATACTCAGAACAAGGGAGCTTCCTTTACCTGATGAAGAACATCTACAAAAACCTATCATAATACTTAATGGTTAAAGACTGAATAATTTTCCCTTAAAATCAGGAACAAACCTCTTCCCAATAGCTGTACTAGAGTTATGCACCACTATACCCAGACTAGAATACATACATTTTTTTAAAACCCTGAAAATTGAACAAGAACTCAAACAACCCAATTTAAAAGAACAAAAACCTGGGCATGGTAGCACATGTCTAGTACCAGAGGTTCAGGAACCCGAGCCAGGAGGATCTAAAGTTCAAAGCCAGCCTCAGCAATTTAGCAAGACCTTGTCTCAAAATACAAAAATAAAAAGGGCTAGAGATGTGGCTCAAGAGTTAAGCACTGCTGGGTTCAATCCCCAGTACCAAAGAAAAGATTTTTATTTTTTCTATTTTTTTGGAGTTGTAGATGGGCAGCATGCCTTTATTTTATTTATTTTTATGCAGTACTAAGCGTTGAACCCAGTGCCTCACATGTTCTAGGCAAGACCTCTGATACTGAGCTACAGCCCCAGCCCAGAATAAAAGATCTTGAACAGACACTTCACTAAAAGAGAGAGATTGCAAATAAGAACATAAGCAAAGGAAAAGATACTCAACATCATTACTCATTAAGGAAATTCAAACTAAAGCCACAGTGTGACATCTGTACTGACCTATCAATACAGTTAAAATTTTTTTTCAGATAGCAACACTAAGAGCTAGTGAGGATATAGTAAAAGTAGAATCTTCAAAAATTGCTGATGGAAATACAAATGGTATCATCACTTTGGTAAAATAAAATTATGGCATCTGCCAGTAAATGGATGGAACTGGAGACTATCAAGCTAAGTGAAATAAGCCAATCTCAAAAAACCAAAAGTTCTGATATGGGGATGCCAATTCACAATGGGGGCAGGGAGGGAGAAGGGGAGGTTCACCAGATTGGACAGGCAGTATGGGAGGAAAGGAGGGAGGATGAGAATGAGAAAGATAGTAGAATGAAGTTATACTTCAAGTATATATAATATGTCCAAATACATTCTACTGTCATGTATAACTAAAATAATGATAAAAATAAATACATATAAATAAATAAAACAGGCCTGGAGCTGGGCATGATGTTACAAGCCTATAATTCTATCTACCTGGGAGGCCTCACAAAAGGATTATAAATTCAAGCCTAGTCTAGACAATTTGGTGAAACCATATCTCAATTTTTTTTTTTTTAAAAAGAGCTGTATGTGTACATCAGTGGTATATTATTGTGAGTTCTATCTTCAGTATCACCTAAAAAAAAAAAAAAAGGAAAAAACAAAAACAAAACAAAAACCTGATACTCTTGTTTCTCTTCAGATCACATAAATCTTTCACCTTTTGAAATGGGCTTGAAAATGGTTGGGCACAGTGGCAGATACCTGTAATCCCAGCTGCTCAGAGTCTAAGTTGCTGAGGCTGACCTCAAACTTGTGATTCTCCTGCCTCAGCCTCCTGAGTAACTAGGATTATAGGAAAGTGCCAACATGCCTAGACCAAATGAACTATTATGCAAGAGAGTGATATGATATTTTCTGTGTCTTACCATGCTTTAGCTATGCACACAATGAGAAGAGGGAGAAAATAAGTGCAAGGAAATGACTGAAAAGATACACATAACATTCTGTAGAAAAGATGAGGATTACTCTCAGGCAGTGGCAAAGAAAAAAGACTACAAGTGACACCACAGAGGACTATCATATAACATTAGATAACTGATGATTTGAGGCATAAGAAATGAACAGGCTATTCCTAACAAAGGCTTCTCACTTAGGAAAAGTAGAAAGAAAAGCAGGTCTATACGGTAAGGGAGTTGACAAGTACTTGTGACATGCAGGGTGAGTTTGAAGTACATGCAGGAGAGTCATATGGAATGCATATAAGGCAGTAGCTAATGCAGGTTACATAATCATTTTTAAACCCTGTGCCTTTTTCCCTTGGACTCTTCAGATGGGTTTCTGTGTAGAGAATCAGATGTAACTGCGTTACTATTACTGTCCTTGATGGAGTCTGCCTGGAAACGGGATATTCTGTCAAGGTATAGATAGGTAACAGCTTGAAAACGAGGTGTCTACTGTCCTTGGGAGGGCCTACTTGCAAACGAGAGGCTCCTTCAAGGTTTAGATAAGGTAACAGTAGACATGCTTGAAAACAGAGGTGTCTGCTGTCCTTGGGAGGACTTGCCTGCAAACGGGATGTTCTGCCAAGTGGGCTAGGAGGGCGCTGAGAAAAATTTTATTATCTGTTCTTAACAAAGAGCAGAGCTCAACATAGTCCAGGCCGAGAATAGATTAGCCATGAGAAGCGGGTCACTTCTGATTAGAAAGTAAAACTTCTGTATGCTATGTTTAATTAGCTGAAAGACCTGATTTATTGATGTTGGAAGGCTGCCTTCTTTGTTCACAATACTATAAAAAGATTGCTTGTACACAATAAAGGACTTTTTTTCCTGCTGCTGCTTCGCTTGCTCTGCTTCTTATTTCTTTTCCCATGCTGACCTGCAAGTGAATTACTGCAACATTTCTGGACTCTACTTATGGAGGAACCAGAACAGCAGCAGCACTCAACTAATCACTGGATCACTAAGAAGCAACCTGGGCAAAACAGTTCAGAAATGAGCAGTATATGGCTCTTCTGGTAAATTGATACATGGCAGCCAAATAGACTGCTGCCCCAAGTGCCATAGGAGATACACAGCCAGAACAACCCACCAACAGGCATTGCCAGGACACACAAATTCTCATGAGTCTTAAGTGTATAAACCATGCCATATGGAGAAAATCAGAGATGTGATCATATACCCCAGAGATTATGCATTCTGAAAAATGTGAAATGGAATCTTCCCTTTAATCTTGAGTTATTCTTGCTTCCAGACAATCTGTTTATCCCTCTCAAGAGCTCCTGTGAAAGTAAATGTGGGCATCTACTTTACACATGTGGTTCCTTTTCTCACCATGATCCAAGGCTCTAATGTACTTGTTCTTCATCTCCTGCTGCTGATGCACATAGATCTTCCAGTACTGGAACATTAGGTTGTACAAGTAATATCTGAGGAATCAGAAAAACAAATGATATATGGCATTGATTCTTTTTCTTTCTTTCTTTCTTTTTTAGTACTGAAACCAGAGGAGATTTAGAAGTGAGCTACATCTCCAGCCCTTTTTATTTTAATTTTAAGACAGATTGCCCAGATTGGCCTTGAACTTGATCCCTTGAAACAGCCTCCCAAGTTGCTGGGATCACAGGTATGAAACACTGCACTGATATGCAACACTAATGGCTTTTTAAGACAAAACAACTCTTAATCCAACACACCCATCTGTTCTATACTCAGAACATGGAATATAGAACAAAAAACCTATCAGCACCTAAGCAAAAATTCCATTTCCTACAATCACAGAGAAATTTATCCTCCTTGAAAATAGGAGGATAAATTATATAGAGAAAGATTCATTCTCTATACCTTAAAATGTCACTGAGGAAGAAAAGCTTGACTTCTCCAAGAATAACTTCACTTTCAACATGCACAAAGCCATGACATTTGGAAGGACACTCATATCATTCTAATCATCCACACTGAAAAACATTACTTCTCCTTGTCACTGCAATATGGTCAATGGAGCTTTTTCCTTTTTCTTCTCCTTTATATAGACATCACACATCTTAACACTTTCATCCCTCCATAATTTCACTACCCCAATTCTAAAGCTTGATTTCAAATTTAAGTGTAGGCTTTTAGAACTACTGAAAATCAATCTCTCTCTCTCTCTCTCTCTCTTTTAAGTACCAGGGATTAAACACAGGGGCACTCAACTACTGAGCCACATACCCAGCCCATTTTATATTTTATTTAGTGTAGGGTATTTTTAAGTTGGCTAAGGCCTCACTAACTTGCTAAGACTGGCTTTGAACTTTAAGCCTCTTGCCTCAGCTTCCTAAGCTACGGGCATTACAGGCATGCACCACCATGCCAGGACCTCAATGGATCTATTTTTAATCTGAAATGGTCAGAAGTCAGAAGTCCTATCCCAACTAAAAGTGACTATAATGACAGTCAATATCATCTTAAAGACATAACGTATATATACTTTTTTAAAAAAGATCTAAAAAAATGTGTATTTGATCTAATTCACAAGTTTTACTTTATCCCTTCATCTCAGGGAATGTGAATGTGAACATCAAGGATTAAGAATGTTTACTGGCTGGGGATATGGCTCAGTTGGTACAGTGCTTTCCTTGCATGCACAAGGCCCTGTGTTCAATCCCCAACACAACAACAACAACAAAAATATGTTTACTTTCTATTTCAAGTTTCCTTTTTTTTTCTTAATGTTCTATATTGGGCATATATTTTCTCCCATAATCAACATGAATTACAACAATATTTTTTAAATAACAGAATACTCTCAGAAATTATACAGAAGTGAGAATCAGTGAGAAACCCCATTCAAATCATTAGCATGACCAATATATAATGGTTATTAGGAGTGTGTATGCATATGTATATACACATGCAAGTGCACGCATACATGCTTGGGTTTAATTTAGGACTTCAAATTGCTTACTCTAAAAATGATTTGAAGAAAACCAGAAAGCAATCTAACTTTACTCCTTTTGACCAAAAACATGCCAAAAGGAATCTGACTATATGTCAAATCTATCTATTAAAATGTGTAAAATTGGGGGCTGAGGTTGTGGCTCAGCAGTAGAGCACTCACTGAGCACATGCAAGGCCTTGGGTTCAATCCTCAGCACCACATAAAAATAAATTAATCAAATGAAAGTATTGTGTCCAACTACAACTAAAAATAATTTTTTTTAAATGTGTAAAATTGAAGTAATGTGACACAAAATCTGACCTGTAGTGACAGTCAGCTCGAACACAGAGTTTCCATTCTCGATTCAAAACCCACCACTCTTCTTTCCATTCTTCAAAGACTTTCCGTAGTAGTCTCTGCTCATAGTAAAACCTTGGGCCATGAAAAACATGAGAGAGAGTTAGACAAGATGAAGTTGGAGCTAGCATGTATTCCAAAATCAGTTTCTTATTACTCTAGCCTTCTTAAAGAAGAGTAAACACCAAAATAAATTAAAAATAGACATTTAACTTTTTCAAATAAAAAACTTAAAACTACTTAAGCAAGAAATAAAGATTAAAAACTTATAATATAGATCTTACTGATTAAAGATGCTAAAGTAAAATTAAAATCTTAATTTTAATAAATGAATTTGAGAATTATTTCAAATTAATTCATCAGACTAAAAAAATATTTTTTGTTCCCACAATGTGGTAATTACAATTCATTTATATGCTAAGGAGATTAATGTTTTAAAACAAGAAAATGCCTAATGGTATCCCCAATATTTAACAGGAACATAGATGACAAAGTAAATGAAACCTGTTCAAGGGAGTTATAAAAACATAAGAGCGGTAAGAGAAAATGAGGAGAGGGAAAAGGTAATAAGAAAACAAATAAGGGCTGGGGATGCGGCTCAAGCGGTAGCACGTTCACCTGGCATGCATGCGGCCCGGGTTCGATCCTCAGCACCACATACAAAGATGTTGTGTCCGCCGAAAACTAAAAAATAAATATTAAAAAAAAATTTTCTCTCTCTCTCTCTTTAAAAAAAAAGAAAACAAATAAGCAGTGATGGTGCTGATGTCACTGTCAAAGTGATTGATAACTCAAGAACGTGGGTCCTTGTCAATCACTCTGAATTTCTTTTCAAAGTTCCACAGGCTGATATTCCCTTCCCTTTGCCCACTCAGATTTTTCAAGCTGGCTTAAAAAGTTATTCATAAGAAAGTAAGGCACGGTGGCACACGCCTGTAATACCAGAAGCTCGGGAGGCTGACGCAGGAATTCAAAGCCAGCCTCAATAATTTAGTGAGGCTCTGAGCAACTTAGAGAGACTGTTTCAAAAAGTTTAAAAAAGAAAACAAAAAAAGGGCTGAGGAAGTGGCTAAAAAATAAAAAAAATATATTTATTTTTAGTATTTAATATTTAAAAAAATATTTATTTATTTTTATTTTTTTTAACATTATTTTGTGGCTTTAATTATCTTTCCCAGGATTACTGGAGAGCAACCCTGAAGGTCTATGATACACTGATTTGAGATTTTTCTAAAATTAAAGTTTAATTTCTTTGAAATTGCAAAACTTATGACAGCTGTGTTCTTAATTGTAGCCTTTTTTTTTTATTGTTGATTGTTCAAAACATTACATAGTTCTTGATATATCATATTTCACATTTTGATTCAAGTGGGTTATAAACTCCCATTTTACCCCGTATACAGCTTGCAGAATCACATCAGTTACACTTCCATTGATTTACATATTGATATACTCATGTCTGTTGTATTCTGCTGCCTTTCCTATCCTCTACTATCCTCCCTCCCCTCCCCTCCCCTCCCCTCTTCTCTCTCTACCCCCTCTACTGTAATTCATTCCTCCCCCTTGTATTATTTTTTCCCTTTCCCCTCACTTCCTCTTGTATGTAATTTTGTATAACCCTGAGGGTCTCCTTCCATTTCCATGCAATTTCCCTTCTCTCTCCCTTTCCCTTCCACCTCTCATCCTTGTTTAATGTTGGTCTTCTTCTCGTGCTCTTCTTCCCTAGTCTGTTCTTAGTTACTCTCCTTATATCAAAGAAGACATTTGGCATTTGTATAATATAAAAAAAATATTTATTTTTTAGTTCTCGGCGGACACAACATCTTTGTTTTGTATGTGGTGCTGAGGATCGAACCTGGCCCTCATGCATGCCAGGTGAATGCGCTACCGCTTGAGCCACATCCCCAGCCCCTTGTTCATTATTTTAAAACTTAGGGGGCTGGGGATGTGGCTCAAGCGGTAGCGCTCTTGCCTGGCATGCGTGCGGCCCCGGTTCAATCCTCAGCACCACATACAAAACAAAGATGTTGTGTCCGCTGATGATTAAAAAATATTTAAAAATTCTCTCTCCCCCACCCCACTCTCTTTAAAAAAAAAATAAAGAGTCAAGATTCTTATTAAAAACAATAATAATAAAATAAAATAAAACTTAGGAACCACCTGCCCATGGTACAATGAACACAACCATCTACTTTCTTCCCTTCCCAAAACACCACTAAAATAATAGCAAATACATTTAAAAAGGCAGACACTCACAGAAAATAGGACAGAAGATGACAGATAAGATGTCAACAAAGTTTACGTAATTAATGAAAAAGTAGGTAGGCAAGTGGCAACTGAGTTACCAAATCAGAAAAGGCAGAGAACTGAAATGTCATAGGACTAAGAGGCATCTGGAAGGAAGGAGCCCAGGATTATATGAAGAGAGGATTATATCAGAAGTTGTTAGGTTCCTAGGTCTTGTTCACCCAAGTCAAGACTCAGTTTCTCTCTGGAGAGGCTGAACCAGAGAAGCGCCAGATTCTAGACTACTAGGCAAAGCTCTGGAGACATTCCCTAAACTGAGAATTGACATAATAAACAATGAAACTCTACTCCCTTTCCCTGCGTGCAGTCATGCTCCCACTTAAGTCCATCCCATATCAGCAGGAATTCAGAGGATTCATCTATTCTGGGGAAAACTGATCTTAATCTAGGAAAAAGGCCTTCAGAGATGCTGACAGTTGAAAGTTCCCCAGTGAAATCTCCTAAATTCTGCCTCCAAAGCCTGAGGAAACCCTGGATTTATAAGTACAAACACATAAAACCAATTAGCTTTTTAAAATCTCTTAAATATGAACATACTTAGAGAACAAATATTTCCATTCTCTCATTTAAATTTAGAAATTAAGGCCCATATCCAGGTGTGGTGGTATAGGCCTGTAATCTCATCAATTCTGAAAGCTGAGGCAAGAGGATTTCAAGTTTGAGGCCTGCATCAGCAACTTATGGAGGCCCTAAACATTTCAGCAAGACCCCATTTCAAAAAACAATAATAATAAAAATTTAAAAACAAATTGAGGCCCAAAACTGTACCTTATCCTCAGATCAGACAATGAGGGTCAGGGATAGAATCAAAACTTAGGTCTCCTAAATTCTAGTTTAATATTTTGTTCTCTATAACCTGTACCACTCAAGAGAAAAGAAATGAAAAAGAGCATGTAAACGTTTTAAAGCTATAACCATAGTATGGTAGTACTAGCTGTCACTGGCTAAACCAATATGAACCACCAAGCCCCTACATCTTCACTAGTATACCCTACAAAGGGTGGAACAATTTTCATTCCCAACCTCCTCTATAGCTAAAGATAGTCCATGACAAAGCTCTGGCCAATGAGGCAGAAACAGAATGCAGCCAGGGACTTCTGGAAGTTTGTTTTTTTTTTTTCCCCTGATAAAAGACAGATCAAAATGACAACAATATTTGTCCTTCCTTCCTATAGGACCCTGGAACAGTCATCCTGCAATGATGCAATGTTACCTGTGAGGACAAGTGCCAATATGTTAAGGACAGTCAGCTACAAGTATAATAAAAGTTGAGTACTTGCAATTTTTTTTTTTTTTTTGAGAGCGGGATTGAACCCATGGGCACTCAATCACTGAGCCACATCCCCGGCCCAATTTTTATTTTGAGACAGGGTCTAAGTTGTTGAGAGCCACAGCCAAAGGGGCCCCAGCAAACTTCCAGCTGCCAGCAAGCTTCAGACTGCCAGCTGATGATTGGTTCACAGTGGCCCCAGCAACATCTAGCTGATTGGCTCCTCTGTGGTGATGTTCATTGGGCTGTTTCCCTGCCCTTCAGACTGCCAGCTGATGATTGGCTCACAGCGGCCCCAGCAACATCTAGCTGATTGGCTCCTCCACAGAGCTGCTCATTGGGTGACTTCTTTGGCTCCGCCCACGCGACCCAGCCAATCGGCTTCAAGAGCAGGAGGATTGTGGGAGGTTGGGAGGGTGTGTGGGAGGAGAGGCTTGTGGAAGCCGGTGGTGGCAGTTGGGCTCTGAGGGTTTTTTCCCTGGAGCTGTTTTGTTTGGCGTTTGTAGTTCTAAAAATAAAGTTAGTTTCTTTTTGACAAGTGGCTCCTGATTTGTGCCAAGCCAGACTTCGGCACTAAGTTGCTTAGGGTATCACTATTTGATGAGGCTGGACCTGAACTTGTGATCCTCCTGCCTTAGCCTCCCAAGTTGCTGGAATTATGGGTGTGTACCACCATGCCCAGCTAAAAGTTGAATCTTTGATGGTATCCTTGAACTGCTAAACCAATACCAGTAACTGCCAATTCCAAATTGCTTGTGAAAAAAAGCAAATCTCAATTTGCTTAATAAGAAACTTTAAGTCAGATTCTCAGAGTCAAAAGCATTCTCAATGGCTGCCAATTCTCCCTCTGAAACACACCCTATATATGGGCCCCTTCTCCCCACCCCCACTGCCTCCTGCTCAGTGTTCCTGACTCTGATTCCTCTTATACCTCATTCTTCCCACTGCAGTTAAATTGACTATAACCAAAAATCGTAGCAGTGGGTGGTGGCGATCTATGCAAAGAACAGTATATGTATATTATAAACATGTGTAGTGTACATATATAATCATACATATATATGTGTACACACACACACACACACACACACACACACGTATGTGTATAATGTATAGCATATGACAGGAGATAACTCTTCATTAAAATTTCACTTCTCTTGCCCATGCCAGGTTTTTCCTCAGATTCTTCCCAAGATCAAGTCCATCTGTCAGTCTCACCAATGCCCTAAATGAGCTCTTCTCCTTGGCAACATTTTTTTTTTTTTCCAGAAAGGTAACAGCCATCCTAGTTAATTTTGTTCACCTAGTTCACTCCTTTATGCATTTATCCAGTCAACTAATATGCATGAGTTACCCTCACATCACATGCTTATATTAGGTAATATTCCAGCTCCAGGAGGCTGGGGAGGCACGGTGGAAGAATGTAGTAATATATGACATAATAAAGTATGTAGAAACTAGTATGAAGTTAAAACCTAGACTGAGTTCAACAGAAATGTGTTATTCTGAGCTAACACTACCTGGCTTTAGAGGGAAATACTCTTCCAAAAGTCATTCGAATCCACAAGTACAAGAATTTTCTGGTCACACATCTGAAAAAAGGAAAGAAAAGACATGTACATGTTATAACTGTTTGTTTAATGAGAGGAAACCTTTAAGGTCCCAGGAGAAGGGACACTAATATGACTCAAAGGGAATATCATAGCTAATCTTGCATCAAACAGAACATAGGAGACAAATTTATAAAGCTAAAGTCAAGATTTTTTTATTGGTACATAACTAATTAAACAAAATGTAGTTTCTTTGTGGCATTTTGGTATATGCATAAAACATAAATTTGATCAATTTCACTCCCCAATACTTCCCCTTATGTCCTCCCCCTTCTTGATCATCTTTTATCCAATGGGGCTCCTTTCTTTCCTGATATCCTCCTCCCTTCCCCTTCTTTTCCCACTAGCTTGTACATATGAGATACAACATAAGAGAACTTGTCTTTTCTAAGTCTGGCTTCTTGACTTAGAAAAGACAAGTACTCTTATGTTGTATCTCATATTATTTATGTTGTATCTCATATTATTTCACCTAATATGATGCACTCCAGTTCCACCTACTTTTCTGCAAATAATTTTGTTTCTATTAAGGCTGAATAAAACTCCATTGATTATATATACGACATTTTGTTAATCCACTTGTCTGTCTAAAGATGTTGTGCATTTGTATTATTATTGACCATTGTACTTTGTCTTTTGAAAAAAGTGTTCAGTTGTTCAGTTCATTTGCCCATTTACTGAATGTGTTTCTTGTCTCTTGGTGTTTTCTTTATATATATATATATATATATTCTGGATATTAATCCTCTGTCAGAAGAGAAGCTGAAAAAGATATGCTCCATTCTATGAGTTCTCTCTTCATGCTACTGTTTCTTTTGCTGTGCAAAAACTTTTTAATTCGATGCATTCCCATTTATTGACACTTGCTATTATTTCCTGAGCTACAGGAGTCCTATTTAGGAAGTCACCACCTGGATCTATATATGGATGTATTTCTCCTATGTTTTCTTCTAAAAGTTGCACAGTTACTGGTCTTATGCCTAGATCTTTAATCCACTTTGAGTTGACTTTTGTACAGGGTGAGAGATAAGAATCTAGTTTCATTCTTCTAAATATGGATATCCAGTTTTCCTTGCACCGTCAAAGAGACTATTCTATGACATATCTTTTTGGCATCTTTGTCAAAAATTAAATGTCTGTGGATATGTGGGTTTGTCTTCTATTCCATTGGTTTATGTGTCTGTTTTTATGCCAGTACCATGCTGTTTTTGTTACTATGGCTCTATAGTATAATTTGAAACTGGGCATTGTGATGCCTCCAGCTTCTCCCTTTTTTGCACAGGATTGCTTTGGCTATTCTGAGTCTTCTGTTTTTCCATATGAATTTCAGGGTTGTTTTCCCTAGTTCTCTGAAGAATATCATTGCTATTTTGATGGGGATTGCACTAAATCTATAGACCATTCTTGGAAATATGTCCATTTTCATAATATTAATTCTGCCTATTCATGAGCACGGGAGATGGTCTCATCTTCTAATGTCTTCTTCGATTTAACTTTTCAGTGTTGTGTAATGTTCCTTACAGAGGTCTTTCATTCCCTAGGTTAGATTTATTCCTAGGTATTTTTTTGTTGAAGCTCTTGTAAATGGAATGTTTTCCTGCTTTCTTTCTCAGTAGATTCATTATTGGAATATACAAAAGTTATCAATTTTTGTATGTTGATTTTGTATCCTGCCAATTTGCTGAATTTTTTTTTTTTAATCAGCTCTAGAAGTCTTCTAATGGATATCCAGTTTTCCTTGCAGCATCAAAGAGACTATTCTATGACATATCTTTTTGGCATCTTTGTCAAAAATGAAAAAAAAAGTCTTCTAATGGAACCTTTAGAGTCTTCTAAATATAGGATAATAACTCAAGCAGATTATTTTTAAAAAACACTTTGATTATAATGTATTTTGCCAATGAAAAAATGAAGACTTCAAAGTTGAAGAAAAGTCATAATTGTTTTGTTCATATTATCCTTCTTCCCTAAAATGCCTAACAAATGTACACTTATCCTGGACTTTCCCTAACTCAAACAAAGTGAGGAGCTAGGTACTCTCAGCACTCTGTTCAAATGCCTTGTGTAATGTTATTCCACATCACAGCAATCAGCTCGGAGTATGTCTGTCATTCCCTCAGCAATTGGAGCCCTTGAGAGCAGGGACTGTACCTTATAGTAATCCTAGAAGGTAGTGGAATGCCTCTACAGACATAACAAAAGTTGGTTTGGAAAACGCTTCCTCCTTTATCTTATTCCTTTTTGAAAAAACAATATTAACTTATATTAGTTATTGATGGACCTTTATTTATTTGTTTACATGTGATGCTGAGAATCAAACCCAATGCCTCATATGCTAGGCAAGTGCTCTACCTCTGAGCCACAGCCACAGCCACAGCCCTGACATATTCTTACATTATTCTTCAAGACTCAGCTTAAACTCTGCTTCTCCAGAAAGTCACTGCTGGCTTTACTAATGTGGTTATTCTTGCCATGTGTGCCTTCTCTGCTCATAGTTCTTATCACATTTTATTGTTATGGCTTAACCTGATTTTAAACTTTTATAAGTTCAGGTTTTGGAATATAGCATAACACCTGGCAGAGTAGGCACTTAGTAAATTTTTGTTGAATGAATAAATGATGCCTTTAATACCTAACAAAGAATAGCAGAAAATGAGCTGGGCACAGTGGTATACACCTGTAATCCCAGGAGCTCAGGATATTGAGGCAGAAAGATTGCAGGTTTGAGGCCAGCCTCAGCTTATCGAGACTATAAGCAACCTAGTAAGAACCTGTGTCAAAATGAAAGGGGTTGGTGATGTAGCTCAGTGGTTAAGCATCCCTGGGTTCAATCCCTGGTACCAAAAAAAAAACCACAGAAAATAATCATTCTTCATGGGCCATATTTAGATTTTTTTCTTAAAGAATCATAACTTATACTTTGTGGTCCACAATTGGAGAACATGACTGAAAACAATGATAGATATTATGCCGCACATTTCTAAATATCCTTTTTACTGAACATTTCAATAGGAAGAGCAGGCATCACGTTCTCCAACTAATTGACATAGAAAATAAAAATCATTCCCTCACTTCAGCAAAGAAGGAAGAACTAGTGAGAAGTCCCTATAGGGAAGTGACTACTCAAGCACACCTGATGTGGAGTTCTCTCAAGCGGCCCCGTCGGGTCCAAGACTGTGAGGCATGATACTGTATTGGCCGACTAGTTCCAGGCAACTCTCTCTGGATCCCAGAGAAGGCAGAAGACTTTTTGATGGATAGTGCCTTTGGAGAATAAGGCTTTTTAATTGAACCATCCCTAAGAGACCTTAAATTTGAGAAATAGAGAAGAGAAAAAAATTATCACTGTATATTTTTTAAAATAGAAGCAAAATTAAATAGTAAATTGACTGAGACTAATTATAATGACTCAAGAACAATAAGCTTCCACATCTCCAACAGAAGTAACTGGAAACCAGCCAGGCACAGAACTGCATGCCTGTAATCCTAGTAACTCAGAAGGCTAAGGCAGGATTATCACAAGTTCAAGGCCAACCTCAACAACTTAGCAAGACCCTGTCTTAAAATAAAAAATTAAAAAAGGGCTGGGGATATAAATGACTGGTAAAATGTCCCTGGGTTCCACCCCCAGTACAAAAAAAAGAAATATCTGGCAAGCACTGGAGGTTGGTACTCCTGGTTGGGCTCTATGCAAGAAATACAAAACATAATAGTACACTAGAGTAATTAGGTCTAACACACTTTTTAGGAAAAATTTCCAGATAATATCAAATATGAAACCATATACTTTTAATAAACACTAATTTTTTTTGGGGGGGGGGCAGTGCTAGGAACTGAACTCAAGGTGCTTTGCCACTAAGCTACATCCTCAATACACATATATACACACATACACACATACGTACTTCTGTGTGTATGTATGTATATATAAGTATATGTACATATACACACAAACATACACATACACATGTATTTTTTTTGTAACAGGGATTGAACCCAGAGATGCTTTACCAATGAGCTACATTTCCAGTCCTTTTTATTTTTTGATATAAGGTTTTACTAAGTTGCTTAGGGCCTTGCTAAACTGCTAGGCTAGCTTCAAACTTGCAATACTCCTGCCTCAGTCTCCTAAGTTGCTGGAATTACAGGCTTGCACCATGGCGTCAAGCTATTATTTCATATTTTTGAGATAGGATCTTGCTAAATTGCCAAAGATGTCCTTAAACTTGTGGATCTTCCCACCTCGGCTTCCCAAGGTGTATATGCCACTGTGCCCAGTCAAATTTCTAACGTTTAATCCTGTCTGAAAAACATTAAGCAATCAACTAAGGCAGGGATTGGAATTGTGTTGTGTTTGATTGGAATTGGAGATATCGGCATGACCCTGTGATTTTCAAAAAAAAAGAAAAACATGTCAGACCTCCACCCATAGGAAATACCTAGAAGCAATGACAATACATTAACAATGAGCATACCTAGAGACCAAATATAATTTTTTTCCCAAATTTTTTTAGTTGATATGGACACAATACCTTTCTTTCTTTTTATGTGATCTAGAGATTGAATGCAGTGACTTACACATGCTAAGTAAGCACTCTACCTCTGAGCCACAACCCCAGCCCCCAAATATTATTTCTAAAATACCACTCTCTACTAGAAGGACCCCAGAGCTCCTTTGAGAAATGGCCAATTTCCAGGTCTGGAGCAAGGAAAATGCAAGATGAGAATGGAATCTTATTTGGTCCAAAAATAAGGAAGTATTCAAAGAATGATGGAAAGCTGGATACAGTGGTACACACCAGTGATCCTAGTTACTAGGAAGACTGAGGTAGGAAGATCCCAAGCTCACAGCCAGCCTCAGCAACTTAGTAAAATTCTGTCTCAAAATAAAAATAAAAAAGGAGTGAGGATGTAACTCAGTGGTAGAGCATCCCTGAGTTCAATCCCCAGTACTCCCCAAAACAAAAAACAGAAACAAGTAAACAATGATGGAAAAATATCAAAAGGACACAGGAGCCAGCCTGAAAGACCACTGGCCAGATCTGGAACAATCTGAAAAGTAATGGATTAAAAATCAATTAATAAAATTGGAATCCATAAGTTAATACTAATATAAATAAATAAATACATGGGGTAGAATGGAAAACTATGCAGACTAATAGAAGGAAGGAGATAATTAGAAAATCATCATCTAGGAACCATCATACTAATAACTGATTTATAGAAGAATCATCAATGGATGCAAAAACAAGTTGGTGGCAGTTTTATAAGGAATACAATATTAACAGTCTCAAAAAAAAAAAAAAAAGCCCTCTAGCTGGGCTTCCTGTTATGCACCTGTAATCCCAGCTACAAGGCAAAGGATCAAAACCAGCCTGGGCTACACATAAAGACCTTGTCTCAAAAAAAAAAAAAAAAAAAAAAAAAGATAGATGCATAATGTGAATAATGAATAATAATGAAGAGACACTAAAGAAATCCAATTTTAAAAATACAAAGAAACTCAATATGAAAAATATCCTCAAAAGATAAGTGGTCCAGAGCTGGACACAGTGGCACATACCTATAATCCTAGTAGCTCTGGAGGCTGAGGCAGAAGGATTGTGAGTTCAAAGCCAGCCTCAGCAACTTAGCAAGGCCTAGCAACTTAGCAAGACCTTGTCTCGAAAAAAAAATATTTTAAAAAAACAGACTAAGGATGTGGCTCAGGAATTAAGTGTCCCTGGGTTCAATCCCGGGTACCAAACAAACAAATAAATAAATAAATAAAAAGTAAGTAGTCTAGGCCAGGCATGGTTGATGGCACCTGTCTAAAGTCCCAGGGACTCAGGAACCTTGTCTTAAAAAAAAAAAAAAAAAAAGGTAAGAGTTCCAAACTCTTCAAAAACCTCCAGATCATGAAAGATAAGGAAAAATTAAGAAAGAATTCCAAACTGAAAGGGGACTCATGTATTGAAGATTAATTTCACTACACATATCATTTTGGTTTTTTTCAGTCTCTGTTGCTGTGGTAAAATAATAGAGAAAATAAATTTTAAGGATGAAAAGATTTATTTTGTCTCATGGGATAATTTGGTGCTATTATCCCAGCTAATGGCACTATGAGGTGGTGAAATTTTAGGAGGTATTGCCTACTTGAAGAAAGTTAGGTCAACTTTGTACCTTTGAAGGTTACATTGCGACCCCGGCCCCTTCCTCTTATTGTCTCTTGTTGCAATGAGGTAAGCAGCTTTGCTCCCCAACATATTCCCCCACCATGATGTTCTGATTTACCATAGACCAAAAAAGTCAATGGAGCCAACTGATTATGGCCTGAAACCATGCGCCAAAGTAAATCTTTCACCTTTAAAATTGTTTTTCTCAAATATTTTGCTACAGCAACAGAAGCAAAGACTAAAAAATCAAAATGCCATGTGTAGTCCTGGTTTGGATCCAGAATCAGAAAGGTTTTCTCACATTTGGTTGTTTAATTTTCCATAAGTAACATGACTAGAACAACCAACCACAAATTACTCTCAAATGAGTTATGTGTGTATTTATTTTTAATTCTCATTAGTCACAGTACTTATTGGTCTCACTTCAGAAACTAGCAATTGCTAAATAACTGCTTTTAAGAGAAATATAGAATACATAAATACAGAAATACAGAATTCCCTATATGTGCCCTGTAAATAGTATATATTTGAAAAATTACTAAGTTATAGTGGCACATACCTGTAATCCCAGCCACTTGGGAAGTTGAGAAGATTTCAAGTTGAAGGTCACCCTCAGCAACTTAATAAAGCCCTAAGCAACTTAGCGAGACCCTGCTTCAAAAATAAAAAGGACTTGCTAGGTGTGGTGGTACAAGCCTGTAATCCCAGCTGCTCGGGAGGCTGAGGCAGGAGGACTGTGAGTTCAAAGGTAACTTTGGCAAAAAGCAAGGTGCTTGGGGCTGGGGATGTGGCTCAAGTGGTAGCACGCTCGTCTGGCATGTGTGGGGCGCTGGGTTCGATCCTCAGCATCACATAAAAGTAAAATAAAGATGTTGTGTCCACCGAAAACTAAAATAAATAAATAAATATTAAAAAATTCTCTCTCTCTCTTAAAAAAAAAAAAAAAGCTGTTAAGCAACTCAGTAAGACCCTGTCTCTAACTAAAATACAAAATAGGGCTTGAGGATGTGGCTCAGTGGTTGAGTGCCCCTAAGTTCAGTCCCCAGTAACCCAATAAATAAATAGCTAGATAGATAAATAAATAAATAAATAAATAAATAAATAAATAAGGACTGGGGATGTGACCCAGTGTCTTCCACCCCTGGGTTCAATTCCCACTACCAAAAAATAAAAATAAAAAAAGTAAAGTAAGGTAGGCAGTCAGGCGGTGGTGAGTGCTAAGGTCAGAGGATCACTTGAGCCCAGGAGTTCAATAAGCAAGAGCCTATCTCAGAAGGAAAACGAAACAAAAGGTAGAAGCATTATTCACAATATCCAAAAAGAAGAAACCCAAATGCCCATAAACGGATAAACAAAATACAGTACAGGCACACAATGGAATATAATTCAGCCATAAAAGAAGAATAAAGGGCTAGGAATGCATCTCAGTGGTAACATGTAGGAGGCCCTGGTTCAATTCCCAGGACTAGCTGGAGATATAGATCAGTTGACAGAGTGCTTGTCTAGCATGTTCAAGGCCCTGAGTTCAATCCCCAGCACCACCAAAAAAAAAAAAAAAAAAAAAAAAAAAAAAAAAATCCCAGGACTAGAAAAAAATAGAATGAAAACATTGATACATATTACAGCCTTAGAGAACCCCCAGATGAGTGAAATAAGCCAGATACAAAAAGATTAATATTGCATGGATCCATCTGTATGAGGTACATAGAATAAAGAAATTCATAGAAATAGAAAGTAGAGCCAGGTATGGTGGCACACACCTGTACTCCCAGCAGCTCGGGAGGCTAAAGCAGAAGATCAAAAATTCAAAGACAGCCTCAGCAAAACAAAGTGCTAAGCAACTTAGTGAGACTCTGTCTCTAAATAAAATACAAAACAGGACTGGGGATGTGGTCAGTGGTCAAATACTCCTGAGTTCAATCCCTGGCACCTCACCCACCGCAAAAAAAGAAACAGAAAGTAGAATAGACTGTACTGGGACTAAGAGAAGAGAGGAATGGGGAGTTGTTATTTAAAGCATACAGGCTTTCTTTTCAGAATGAAGAAAAAGTTGTGGAAATGCATATTGGCAATGGTTATACAATATTGTGAAAAATATCAATGAACTGTCTACTTAAAAATGATTAAAATGGCAAAATTTATGTTATATGTAGTTTATCATAAAATTTTTTTTTAAATCTCTGGAAAAAAGTGAGGTAGGAGATTTGAGAAAAAAATAAAAGAATAGCTAGCAGGAATAAGTCAGGAAGGAAATAAAGTTAAAATGTTGTAGATTCCTATATTGTCTGAGAGGAAAGTAAGAATAATAATATTGACTTTTGAAAGGGTAAAGAGTAGGGCTGGAAATGTGGCTCAGTAGTAGAGTACTTGCCTAGCATGCATAATGCCTTTGAGGTTTTTCTATTGGTTGTGGGGATGGGGGTTATATTTTTTTTAATTTTAGTACTGGGGATTAAACCCAGCAGGACTTTATCACTGAGATATATCTCTGGTCCTTTTTATTTTGAAAGAGTTCTTACCAGGTTGCTTAGGGCCTCACAAAATTGCTGAGGCTGGCTTCAAACTTGTGATCCTCCTGCCTCAGCCTTCTGAGTCACTAGGATTAAAGGCCCATGGCACCACACCTGATAGGAGTTGTTTCAATGTCTAAAGTAGCCACTGAAAGAACAGAAAAAGAGCATGTAACTTCTACACTAATAAGAAAGTGGGAATATAAAAAAATATTTAACCTAAAAGTAGATAAGAAAGGAAATAACAAATAGAAAGTGCCAAATCAGGCTTTAAATGTAAACCCACAATTTCTTTAAACATAAATAACTTAGAAGACCCAATTAAAGATAAAGATTGCAAAAGTATATTTAAGAAGAATTTAACTATGGAATGTTTACAACAGACAATACAGAATTCTAAAACAAGAATACCTAAAAGAAATCTGGGTACAGTGGGGTGACTCAGGAGGCTCAAACAGGAGGATTGCAAGTTCAAAGCCAGCCTCAACAATTTAGCAATGCCTTAAGGAACTCAGTGACACCCTGTCTCAAAATTTAAAAAAAAAGGGGGG